ATTATTATTATTAGGCTGTAGTTATTTGCACAGAGTGTGTGAATACTATGAAATGTTATTCATTGCTACAAAATATTATTGGCACAGGGCGTTTCAAAAGAAGGATGGAAATTAATTGGGCCTAGCATTTCCTCATTTTTTCCACCTCATCGCGTAGGGACAAAAATCATAATGTATGACAAAATAGTTCACTTCTCTCTTTGAAGTCAATTTTAAAAAGCGTCCTCAAAATTTGGTGCCCTCTTCGAAAAAGTGCGGACTTTGCGAACAGGGCTGCTCTACTTGTGTGAAAAACAATAAAACTGAAATTAACAGACTGTGCTTAGTTATATCCTATTCTTCTTCTGCGGAAACGAAATAGAGCTTCAAAACAAAGACTCCAGCTCCATCTGGAGCAAAGCCCGGACTTCTGCGAACAGTTTTCGGGCTGAGTGAACATAAATAAATGTGCTTTCTTTGGTAGGGATAGACTTAGATCTAATTCTAATTGTACAATGCGATAATATGAAAACCCCCACTCAAATTGGAATTCCAAAATGTGGAGAATATTTATCGAGTATCTCGGTCTCAGTCTTTGCGCTAGGATGATGAGCGCTTCTCTAACCAGAGGTAGTCCTGACGTGCAGGGTCGAAGCCATCTCCTAAATGTGAGGCAGCGTGGTGGAATCAGGCTCTCGTCAAGTTTTAGGCATATTGAGTTATTGATATCGTGGTGGAACACCAAACCAATGTGCCAGGATCTGGACAATAAAGATGTATCTTATCTTATCTTATCTTATCTTAAAGCTTGTTCATTTGTCTTGCTTTCAATGAAAAAAATTACCCTTCCATCTTCAATAGAAGTGGAGATATTTTGAATTGAAGGAGGTGGGGGTCACCTGGTTTAAGAGGTAAAATTAGCAAGAAAATGGCCGCCAAAGCTAGGTAAATTCCAAAGTTGGAGAGTCCATGAAAACTGTAAATTTATATTCTTATTCCTTTAATCAACGTTTTCGGTGAATTCCTCAAAGGAATGTGTTCGTAAATGGACATGAAAGTTGTTGAGCTAAAAAAACAAAAATTTGATAAAAATTGTTAAGGAGGGGGAAAACTGCTGTTTTCTTCGATTCCATTATTTTGACGAGAGCCTGATTCCACCGCGCTGCCTCACAGATGATCCAAACTGCGTAGGTTGTGGCGTGTAAAAGGGCAGCATAAAAAAACAGTTGTGAACAGAAGCAAGCCGGTTAGAACCAGTTCATATCATTACGCGACTCTCGAGGACATAAACAGATTTGGTTCAGTGGCTTCAAGTTACGGTTTTTGGGTATGAATTATTCAACAAGAATCATGCCCTGCGGCTGTAAAGTTCCCATAAAAGAAAATAATTAGACTGCGCAATAGTATGGGAGTACTGAAAAACGGGATTCTTATAAATACCGGTTCACAATCTTCTTGTGTTGTTCTTACCTTCATTTTTGTTCAGCTAACTTGACGTGTCCAGCGTCTGGAAGTTGTCGTTTGTTAAAGGTCACGCTAGAAACTCTACGCTTAAGAGTAGGTCTTGTTTGTTTTTGTAAAGTGTTTTTACGGCGCTCGCAACTGCATAAGGTCATATGAGCGCGAGGGACACACCTAATATTTTCAGTTGGTAGGAAATTTT